TGTGTGAAGATAACGTGTTAAAACTTATTTGAAGCTACCTTGTGTGAAGATAACGTGTTAAAACTTATTTGAAGCTACCTTGTGTGAAGATAACGTGTTAAAACTTATTTGAAGCTACCTTGTGTGAAGATAACTTGTTAAAACTAATTTAAAGCTACCTTGTGTGAAGATAACGTTTTAAAACTTATTTGAAGCTACCTTGTGTGAAGATAACGTGTTAAAACTAATTTAAAGCTACCTTGTTTGAAGATAACGTGTTAAAACTTATTTGAAGCTACCTTGTGTGAAGATAACTTGTTAAAACTTATTTGAAGCTACCTTGTGTGAAGATAACGTGTTAAAACTTATTTGAAGCTACCTTGTGTGAAGATAACGTGTTAAAACTTATTTGAAGCTACCTTGTGTGAAGATAACATGTTAAAACTTATTTGAAGCTACCTTGTGTGAAGATAACGTGTTAAAACTTATTTGAAGCTACCTTGTGTGAAGATAACGTGTTAAAACTTATTTGAAGCTACCTTGTGTGAAGATAACTTTGGCAAAACTTATTTGAAGCTACCTTGTGTGAAGATAACATGTTAAAACTAATTTTAAGCTACCTTGTGTGAAGATAACGTGTTAAAACGTATTTGAAGCTACCTTGTGTGAAGATAACGTGTGAAAACTTATTTGAAGCTACCTTGTGTGAAGATAATGTCTTAAAACTTATTATTCCCTACCACAAAGTGGGGTGGGGGATATAGGAAAGGGGTTTGACCATCTGTCAGTCCTTCCGTCAGACCCTTCTCAATGTGGGCATATTAACTTTAAAACTATTTAAGTCAGAGATATGAAATTTTACACACTGATTTGACTGGACATGATCTTAAATGACGTCAAAAATTGGTTTTGTAAATTCATTTTTGACAGAGTTATGACCATGAATGTGACACGAAGGCTAACGGAAGGGCTCTTACAGGGTGTGGAAAGTCTAAATCTAAATTAGGATGTAATGATTCACCGATACCTAAGATATCATCGATACCTCGGTACTCACGATTCTTGAATTGTCAGTTTGTGAGATCGCGGTACTCAATAAATAGAACAGGAACACATAATTACCTCCCGTAATGGCAGAAGTAGCACAGAGCCCCCTGTAAGTGTGGCAGAAGTAGCACAGAGCCCCCTGTAAGTGTGGCAGAAGTAGCACATAGCCCCCTGTAAGTGTGGCAGAAGTAGCACAGAGCCCCCTGTAGGTATGGCAGAAGTAGCACAGAGCCCCTTGTAAGTGTGGCAGAAGTAGCACAGAGCCCCCTGTAAGTGTGGCAGAAGTAGCACAGAGCCCCCTGTAAGTATGGCAGAAGTAGCACAGAGCCCCCTATAAGTGTGGCAGAAGTAGCACAGAGCCCCCTGTAAGTGTGGCAGAAGTAGCACAGAGCCCCCTGTAAGTGTGGCAGAAGTAGCACAGAGCCCCCTGTAAGTATGGCAGAAGTAGCACAGAGCCCCCTGTAAGTGTGGCAGAAGTAGCACAGAGCCCCCTGTAAGTGTGGCAGAAGTAGCACAGAGCCCCCTGTAAGTGTGGCAGAAGTAGCACAGAGCCTCCTGTAAGTGTGGCAGAACGCTCTGTCAGCATAGACTAGGACACTCCAGCACACCAAAACAGCAGAAGTTAAGCAACTCGAACAGTGAAAGAGACAGATCACTGCTTAACCACGATACATTGATATCAGACTTGGACTATTCAGCCAACATGGCGGACGGATATAACGAACAGGGTGGAATACACCTCCGTGCACTCTTTTTGGATGTGTTGTCAAACTTTGTGACAGGAAAACTTAATGTGAGTGAAAAAAGCCTCCACTTGAGAACTATCATAGACTTGGGTGGCCATCAACGTCACCTCTCACTAAACCTCGACCTATCATCGCCAGGGTTTTGTTAAGGGCACAGAGGCTCCAGATGGTAAATGAAGGAGAGGAGACACCTTTCTGTGTCAGGGAAGATCTTCTAAAGCAGGACCTCGAGGCTAAAAGACTCCTACAGCCAGTGATGTCACAGATTTGACAGGGGACAAAGTTCGGTTTATCAAGGGTAAATTGTTTATAAATGGGATTCAGTACCGCCCTTAATGTGACAGGACTGCATGTGATGAGGCAACTCTACTTGATGATACATGAAGCAGACATAAAATCACTATATTGGATAAATCCCTTCTTTTCTCTTCTTCACTGTTTCTTCATATTGACGTGTTTGGTTTTCCCTTACCATTAGAGCACAAATTGTTTTTGTTAAAGTTAGGTAATCAGCATGGTAAAGACCCTGACATAAAATCATCATACTGTTTTCAATATGACGGGTACCGGTAATCAGCATGGTGAAGACCCTGACATAAAGTCATCATACTGTTTTCAATATGAGGAGTAATCAGCATGGTGAAGACCCCGACATAAAGTCATCATACTGTTTTCAATATGAGGAGTAATCAGCATGGTGAAGACCCTGACATAAAGTCATCATACTGTTTTCAATATGAGGAGTAATCAGCATGGTGAAGACCCTGACATAAAGTCATCATACAGTTTTCAATATGAGGAGTAATCAGCATGGTGAAGACCCTGACATAAAGTCATCATACTGTTGTCAATCTGTGGAGTAATCAGCATGGTGAAGACCCAGACATAAAGTCATCATACTGTTGTCAATCTGTGGAGTAATCAGCATGGTGAAGACCCTGACATAAAGTCATCATACTGTTGTCAATCTGTGGAGTAATCAGCATGGTGAAGACATTGACATAAAGTCATCATACTGTTGTCAATATGAGGAGTAATCAGCATAGTACAGACCCTGACATAAAGTCATCATACTGTTTTCAGTATGAGGAGTAATCAGCATGGTGAAGACCCTGACATAAAGTCATCATACTGTTGTCAATATGAGGAGTAATCAGCATGGTGAAGACCCCGACATAAAGTCATCATACTGTTTTCAATATGAGGAGTAATCAGCATGGTGAAGACCCTGACATAAAGTCATCATACTGTTTTCAATATGAGGAGTAATCAGCATGGTGAAGACCCTGACATAAAGTCATCATACTGTTTTCAATATGAGGAGTAATCAGCATGGTGAAGACCCTGACATAAAGTCATCATACAGTTTTCAATATGAGGAGTAATCAGCATGGTGAAGACCCTGACATAAAGTCATCATACTGTTGTCAATCTGTGGAGTAATCAGCATGGTGAAGACCCAGACATAAAGTCATCATACTGTTGTCAATCTGTGGAGTAATCAGCATGGTGAAGACCCTGACATAAAGTCATCATACTGTTGTCAATCTGTGGAGTAATCAGCATGGTGAAGACCCTGACATAAAGTCATCATACTGTTGTCAATATGAGGAGTAATCAGCATAGTACAGACCCTGACATAAAGTCATCATACTGTTTTCAGTATGAGGAGTAATCAGCATGGTGAAGACCCTGACATAAAGTCATCATACTGTTGTCAATATGAGGAGTAATCAGCATAGTACAGACCCTGACATAAAGTCATCATACTGTTTTCAGTATGAGGAGTAATCAGCATGGTGAAGACCCTGACATAAAGTCATCATACTGTTGTCAATATGAGGAGTAATCAGCATAGTACAGACCCTGACATAAAGTCATCATACTGTTTTCAGTATGAGGAGTAATCAGCATGGTGAAGACCCTGACATAAAGTCATCATACATTTTTCATTCTGTGGAGTAATCAGCATGGTGAAGACCCTGACATAAAGTCATCATACTGTTGTCAATCTGTGGAGTAATCAGCATGGTGAAGACCCTGACATAAAGTCATCATACTGTTTTCAATATGAGGAGTAATCAGCATGGTGAAGACCCTGACATAAAGTCATCATACTGTTTTCAATATGAGGAGTAATCAGCATGGTGAAGACCCTGACATAAAGTCATCATACTGGTTTCAATATGAGGAGTAATCAGCATAGTACAGACCCTGACATAAAGTCATCATACTGTTTTCAATATGAGGAGTAATCAGCATGGTGAAGACCCTGACATAAAGTCATCATACTGTTTTCAATATGAGGAGTAATCAGCATGGTGAAGACCCTGACATAAAGTCATCATACTGGTTTCAATATGAGGAGCAGCTGATATCAGGATAATGTTGCTAGTATCTGAAGATTACTATATGTACATGTGGGCTGTTTAACTTTTCATTTTAGTGTCAAGATTCAATGGTAACAAAGTGTGATAATCCTTTTGTTTTTGTTCTTTTGTTATGGTGACATGTTTGAGAATAAGTATTTTTTACTCTGACATGAAATGCAAGTTGTTATGGTTCAAAAGATTATATACAGGTAAATCTTTTACATTAAGACCAGTAATTGGATTGCTGGATTATTGGCTATTATATTTTGATGCTGACGGGAGGTTTGAGTGTAAGCTTTGTTCCCCCTTATCAGTTAAATACACTCAGCTGAAACCTTTACATTAGGGTCTCAGCAGAAGGAGTAAACTTTGGTAGCTTGATTCCATTTTGTTTATGTTCTATTTTGGTACATATTTGTGATTAGTTCTAGTTATTGTTGGGGCACTGGTGGCCTAGTCATCTAAGGCGCCGTGATTCGCTGTGCAGAGTTGCGTCCCTTGGGCATGCCAGAAACCTATGATTGTGGGTTTGAATCCCGATTCGCCCCGAATATGTTTCTAGGTTGTGCCCTCGGTCTTTTCAACTGCCCTCCTTCGTCGGGCCGTTAATGGAAGACCTCGGGCTTCTGCAAATGATAATGCCCTGAAAAATAGCGTTACCCTTATATTAATCTATGACTTGTTTGACTGGGCTTCTGTCTACTTGGTATTTATCTATGAGCTGTTTGACTTGGCGCCAGTCTGCCTGGTATTAATGTTTGACTTGTTTGACAGGGTGCCAGTCTACTTGGTATCTACTTGCTATGTAGAGATGCTTTGTGAGGCTCCAGTCTACAGATGGTATCTCTGCTTGTAGGGGGATGCTCTGTGCAAGGACTGCTTCTTTTCCGCCTTCGAGGAGGAGGTCCACCACACCATCACCTCGGCTGGGCTGTTCACGCCAGGGGAGACAATCGCTGTGGGAGCATCTGGCGGCAAGGGTGAGATAGATAGGACTTCATCGGCATCTTGTGACATATTCTTTCACTGAAAAATATCAAAATGTGTATCAATAAAATGGCGTCGAGATTAATAGTTTAGTGAATTCATAATTGATTGAATCCTATCTGTATTGTGGTACATCTTAACATGTATGACAGCACACAACGTCTATGACAGCCTGCGTTCTCATTTACCAGACTCCACCGTCCTGGCGTACGTGTTGAAACTGCTCAACCAGAGATACAACTACAATGTACAGCTGATCCTGCTGTCTGTAGACGAGGGGATCACAGGCTACAGGGATGACTCGCTGGAGGTACGTGTACCTGATACTGTCTGTAGATGAGGGGATCACAGGTTGGTGTACCTGATACTGTGTAGATGAGGGGATCACAGGTTGGTGTACCTGATACTGTCTGTAGATGAGGGGATCACAGGTTGGTGTACCTGATACTGTCTGTAGATGAGGGGATCACAGGTTGGTGTACCTGATACTGTCTGTAGACGAGGGGATCACAGGTTGGTGTACCTGATACTGTCTGTAGATGAGGGGGCCACAGGTTGGTGTACCTGATACTGTCTGTAGATGAGGGGGCCACAGGTTGGTGTACCTGATACTGTCTGTAGATGAGGGGATCACAGGATGGTGTACCTGATACTGTCTATAGATGAGGGTGTCACAGGTTGGTGTACCTGATACTGTCTGTAGACGAGGGTGTCACAGGTTGGTGTACCTGATACTGTCTGTAGATGAGGGGATCACAGGCTACAGGGATGACTCGCTGGAGGTACATGTACCTGATACTGTCTGTAGATGAGGGGATCACAGGTTGGTGTACCTGATACTGTCTGTAGATGAGGGGATCACAGGTTGGTGTACTTGATACTGCCTGTAGATGAGGGGGTCACAGGTTGGTGTACCTGATACTGTCTGTAGATGAGGGGATCACAGGTTGGTGTACCTGATACTGTCTGTAGACGAGGGGATCACAGGTTGGTGTACCTGATACTGTCTGTAGATGAGGGGGCCACAGGTTGGTGTACCTGATACTGTCTGTAGATGAGGGGGCCACAGGTTGGTGTACCTGATACTGTCTGTAGATGAGGGGATCACAGGATGGTGTACCTGATACTGTCTGTAGACGAGGGGGCCACAGGTTGGTGTACCTGATACTGTCTGTAGACGAGGGGGTCACAGGTTGGTGTACCTGATACTGTCTGTAGATGAGGGGGATCACAGGTTGGTGTACCTGATACTGTCTGTAGACAAGGGGGGCACAGGTTGGTGTACCTGATACTGTCTGTAGATGAGGGGATCACAGGATGGTGTACCTGATACTGTCTGTAGACGAGGGGGCCACAGGTTGGTGTACCTGATACTGTCTGTAGACGAGGGGGTCACAGGTTGGTGTACCTGATACTGTCTGTAGATGAGGGTGTCACAGGTTGGTGTACCTGATACTGCCTGTAGATGAGGGGGTCACAGGTTGGTGTACCTGATACTGTCTGTAGATCAGGGGATCACAGGTTGGTGTACCTGATACTGTGTAGATGAGGGGATCACAGGTTGGCACCTGATACTGTCTGTAGATGAGGGGATCACAGGTTGGTGTACCTGATACTGTGTAGACGAGGGGGCCACAGGTTGGTGTACCTGATACTGTCTGTAGATGAGGGGGTCACAGGTTGGTGTACCTGATACTGTCTGTAGATGAGGGGGCCACAGGTTGGTGTACCTGATACTGTCTGTAGATGAGGGGGTCACAGGTTGGTGTACCTGATACTGTCTGTAGATGAGGGGGTCACAGGTTGGTGTACCTGATACTGTCTGTAGATGAGGGGGTCACAGGTTGGTGTACCTGATACTGTCTGTAGATGAGGGGGTCACAGGTTGGTGTACCTGATACTGTCTGTAGACGAGGGGGCCACAGGTTGGTGTACCTGATACTGTCTGTAGATGAGGGGGCCACAGGTTGGTGTACCTGATACTGTCTGTAGATGAGGGAGTCACAGGTCGGTGTACCTGATACTGTCTGTAGACAAGGGGGTCACAGGCTACAGGGATGACTCGCTGGAGGCACGTGTACCTGATACTGTCTGTAGATGAGGGGATCACAGGTTGGTGTACCTGATACTGTCTGTAGACAAGGGGGCCACAGGTTGGTGTACCTGATACTGTCTGTAGATGAGGGGGTCACAGGTTGGTGTACCTGATACTGTCTGTAGACGAGGGGGCCACAGGTTGGTGTACCTGATACTGTCTGTAGATGAGGGGGCCACAGGTTGGTGTACCTGATACTGTCTGTAGATGAGGGAGTCACAGGTCGGTGTACCTGATACTGTCTGTAGACAAGGGGGTCACAGGCTACAGGGATGACTCGCTGGAGGCACGTGTACCTGATACTGTCTGTAGATGAGGGAGTCACAGGTTGGTGTACCTGATACTGTCTGTAGACGAGGGGGCCACAGGTTGGTGTACCTGATACTGTCTGTAGACAAGGGGGTCACAGGCTTCAGGGATGACTCGCTGGAGGCACGTGTACCTGATACTGTCTGTAGATGAGGGAGTCACAGGTCGGTGTACCTGATACTGTCTGTAGACAAGGGGATCACAGGCTACAGGGATCACTCGCTGGAGGTACATGTACCTGATACTGTCTATAGATGAGGGTGTCACAGGTTGGTGTACCTGATACTGTCTATAGATGAGGGTGTCACAGGTTGGTGTACCTGATACTGTCTGTAGACGAGGGTGTCACAGGTTGGTGTACCTGATACTGTCTGTAGATGAGGGGATCACAGGCTACAGGGATGACTCGCTGGAGGTACATGTACCTGATACTGTCTGTAGATGAGGGGATCACAGGTTGGTGTACCTGATACTGTCTGTAGATGAGGGGATCACAGGTTGGTGTACTTGATACTGCCTGTAGATGAGGGGGTCACAGGTTGGTGTACCTGATACTGTCTGTAGACGAGGGGGCCACAGGTTGGTGTACCTGATACTGTCTGTAGACGAGGGGGCCACAGGTTGGTGTACCTGATACTGTCTGTAGATGAGGGGGCCACAGGTTGGTGTACCTGATACTGTCTGTAGATGAGGGAGTCACAGGTCGGTGTACCTGATACTGTCTATAGATGAGGGTGTCACAGGTTGGTGTACCTGATACTGTCTGTAGACGAGGGGGCCACAGGTTGGTGTACCTGATACTGTCTGTACACAAGGGGGTCACAGGCTACAGGGATGACTCGCTGGAGGCACGTGTACCTGATACTGTCTGTAGATGAGGGAGTCACAGGTCGGTGTACCTGATACTGTCTGTAGACAAGGGGATCACAGGCTACAGGGATCACTCGCTGGAGGTACATGTACCTGATACTGTCTATAGATGAGGGTGTCACAGGTTGGTGTACCTGATACTGTCTATAGATGAGGGTGTCACAGGTTGGTGTACCTGATACTGTCTGTAGACGAGGGGGCCACAGGTTGGTGTACCTGATACTGTCTGTAGACGAGGGGGCCACAGGTTGGTGTACCTGATACTGTCTGTAGACGAGGGGGCCACAGGTTGGTGTACCTGATACTGTCTGTAGATGAGGGTGTCACAGGTTGGTGTACCTGATATTGTCTGTAGACGAGGGGATCACAGGTTGGTGTACCTGATACTGTCTGTAGATGAGGGTGTCACAGGTTGGTGTACCTGATACTGTCTGTAGACGAGGGGGTCACAGGTTGGTGTACCTGATACTGTCTGTAGATGAGGGGGTCACAGGTTGGTGTACCTGATACTGTCTGTAGACGAGGGGGCCACAGGTTGGTGTACCTGATACTGTCTGTAGATGAGGGGGCCACAGGTTGGTGTACCTGATACTGTCTGTAGACGAGGGGGTCACAGGTTGGTGTACCTGATACTGTCTATAGATGAGGGTGTCACAGGTTGGTGTACCTGATACTGTCTGTAGACGAGGGGGCCACAGGTTGGTGTACCTGATACTGTCTGTAGATGAGGGGGCCACAGGTTGGTGTACCTGATACTGTCTGTAGATGAGGGGGCCACAGGTTGGTGTACCTGATACTGTCTGTAGATGAGGGGATCACAGGATGGTGTACCTGATACTGTCTATAGATGAGGGTGTCACAGGTTGGTGTACCTGATACTGTCTGTAGACGAGGGTGTCACAGGTTGGTGTACCTGATACTGTCTGTAGATGAGGGGATCACAGGCTACAGGGATGACTCGCTGGAGGTACATGTACCTGATACTGTCTGTAGATGAGGGGATCACAGGTTGGTGTACCTGATACTGTCTGTAGATGAGGGGATCACAGGTTGGTGTACTTGATACTGCCTGTAGATGAGGGGGTCACAGGTTGGTGTACCTGATACTGTCTGTAGATGAGGGGATCACAGGTTGGTGTACCTGATACTGTCTGTAGACGAGGGGATCACAGGTTGGTGTACCTGATACTGTCTGTAGATGAGGGGGCCACAGGTTGGTGTACCTGATACTGTCTGTAGATGAGGGGGCCACAGGTTGGTGTACCTGATACTGTCTGTAGATGAGGGGATCACAGGATGGTGTACCTGATACTGTCTGTAGACGAGGGGGCCACAGGTTGGTGTACCTGATACTGTCTGTAGACGAGGGGGTCACAGGTTGGTGTACCTGATACTGTCTGTAGATGAGGGGGATCACAGGTTGGTGTACCTGATACTGTCTGTAGACAAGGGGGGCACAGGTTGGTGTACCTGATACTGTCTGTAGATGAGGGGATCACAGGATGGTGTACCTGATACTGTCTGTAGACGAGGGGGCCACAGGTTGGTGTACCTGATACTGTCTGTAGACGAGGGGGTCACAGGTTGGTGTACCTGATACTGTCTGTAGATGAGGGTGTCACAGGTTGGTGTACCTGATACTGCCTGTAGATGAGGGGGTCACAGGTTGGTGTACCTGATACTGTCTGTAGATCAGGGGATCACAGGTTGGTGTACCTGATACTGTGTAGATGAGGGGATCACAGGTTGGCACCTGATACTGTCTGTAGATGAGGGGATCACAGGTTGGTGTACCTGATACTGTGTAGACGAGGGGGCCACAGGTTGGTGTACCTGATACTGTCTGTAGATGAGGGGGTCACAGGTTGGTGTACCTGATACTGTCTGTAGATGAGGGGGCCACAGGTTGGTGTACCTGATACTGTCTGTAGATGAGGGGGTCACAGGTTGGTGTACCTGATACTGTCTGTAGATGAGGGGGTCACAGGTTGGTGTACCTGATACTGTCTGTAGATGAGGGGGTCACAGGTTGGTGTACCTGATACTGTCTGTAGATGAGGGGGTCACAGGTTGGTGTACCTGATACTGTCTGTAGACGAGGGGGCCACAGGTTGGTGTACCTGATACTGTCTGTAGATGAGGGGGCCACAGGTTGGTGTACCTGATACTGTCTGTAGATGAGGGAGTCACAGGTCGGTGTACCTGATACTGTCTGTAGACAAGGGGGTCACAGGCTACAGGGATGACTCGCTGGAGGCACGTGTACCTGATACTGTCTGTAGATGAGGGGATCACAGGTTGGTGTACCTGATACTGTCTGTAGACAAGGGGGCCACAGGTTGGTGTACCTGATACTGTCTGTAGATGAGGGGGTCACAGGTTGGTGTACCTGATACTGTCTGTAGACGAGGGGGCCACAGGTTGGTGTACCTGATACTGTCTGTAGATGAGGGGGCCACAGGTTGGTGTACCTGATACTGTCTGTAGATGAGGGAGTCACAGGTCGGTGTACCTGATACTGTCTGTAGACAAGGGGGTCACAGGCTACAGGGATGACTCGCTGGAGGCACGTGTACCTGATACTGTCTGTAGATGAGGGAGTCACAGGTCGGTGTACCTGATACTGTCTGTAGACAAGGGGATCACAGGCTACAGGGATCACTCGCTGGAGGTACATGTACCTGATACTGTTTATAGATGAGGGTGTCACAGGTTGGTGTACCTGATACTGTCTGTAGACGAGGGGGCCACAGGTTGGTGTACCTGATACTGTCTGTAGACAAGGGGGTCACAGGCTTCAGGGATGACTCGCTGGAGGCACGTGTACCTGATACTGTCTGTAGATGAGGGAGTCACAGGTCGGTGTACCTGATACTGTCTGTAGACAAGGGGATCACAGGCTACAGGGATCACTCGCTGGAGGTACATGTACCTGATACTGTCTATAGATGAGGGTGTCACAGGTTGGTGTACCTGATACTGTCTATAGATGAGGGTGTCACAGGTTGGTGTACCTGATACTGTCTGTAGACGAGGGTGTCACAGGTTGGTGTACCTGATACTGTCTGTAGATGAGGGGATCACAGGCTACAGGGATGACTCGCTGGAGGTACATGTACCTGATACTGTCTGTAGATGAGGGGATCACAGGTTGGTGTACCTGATACTGTCTGTAGATGAGGGGATCACAGGTTGGTGTACTTGATACTGCCTGTAGATGAGGGGGTCACAGGTTGGTGTACCTGATACTGTCTGTAGACGAGGGGGCCACAGGTTGGTGTACCTGATACTGTCTGTAGACGAGGGGGCCACAGGTTGGTGTACCTGATACTGTCTGTAGATGAGGGGGCCACAGGTTGGTGTACCTGATACTGTCTGTAGATGAGGGAGTCACAGGTCGGTGTACCTGATACTGTCTATAGATGAGGGTGTCACAGGTTGGTGTACCTGATACTGTCTGTAGACGAGGGGGCCACAGGTTGGTGTACCTGATACTGTCTGTACACAAGGGGGTCACAGGCTACAGGGATGACTCGCTGGAGGCACGTGTACCTGATACTGTCTGTAGATGAGGGAGTCACAGGTCGGTGTACCTGATACTGTCTGTAGACAAGGGGATCACAGGCTACAGGGATCACTCGCTGGAGGTACATGTACCTGATACTGTCTATAGATGAGGGTGTCACAGGTTGGTGTACCTGATACTGTCTATAGATGAGGGTGTCACAGGTTGGTGTACCTGATACTGTCTGTAGACGAGGGGGCCACAGGTTGGTGTACCTGATACTGTCTGTAGACGAGGGGGCCACAGGTTGGTGTACCTGATACTGTCTGTAGACGAGGGGGCCACAGGTTGGTGTACCTGATACTGTCTGTAGATGAGGGTGTCACAGGTTGGTGTACCTGATATTGTCTGTAGACGAGGGGATCACAGGTTGGTGTACCTGATACTGTCTGTAGATGAGGGTGTCACAGGTTGGTGTACCTGATACTGTCTGTAGACGAGGGGGTCACAGGTTGGTGTACCTGATACTGTCTGTAGATGAGGGGGTCACAGGTTGGTGTACCTGATACTGTCTGTAGACGAGGGGGCCACAGGTTGGTGTACCTGATACTGTCTGTAGATGAGGGGGCCACAGGTTGGTGTACCTGATACTGTCTGTAGACGAGGGGGTCACAGGTTGGTGTACCTGATACTGTCTATAGATGAGGGTGTCACAGGTTGGTGTACCTGATACTGTCTGTAGACGAGGGGGCCACAGGTTGGTGTACCTGATACTGTCTGTAGACAAGGGGGTCACAGGCTACAGGGATGACTCGCTGGAGGCACATGTACCTGATACTGTCTGTAGATGAGGGAGTCACAGGTCGGTGTACCTGATACTGTCTGTAGACAAGGGGATCACAGGCTACAGGGATCACTCGCTGGAGGTACATGTACCTGATACTGTCTATAGATGAGGGTGTCACAGGTTGGTGTACCTGATACTGTCTATAGATGAGGGTGTCACAGGTTGGTGTACCTGATACTGTCTGTAGACGAGGGGGCCACAGGTTGGTGTACCTGATACTGTCTGTAGACGAGGGGGCCACAGGTTGGTGTACCTGATACTGTCTGTAGATGAGGGTATCACAGGTTGGTGTACCTGATACTGTCTGTAGATGAGGGGGTCACAGGTTGGTGTACCTGATACTGTCTGTAGACGAGGGGGCCACAGGTTGGTGTACCTGATACTGTCTGTAGATGAGGGTGTCACAGGTTGGTGTACCTGATACTGTCTGTAGACGAGGGGGTCACAGGTTGGTGTACCTGATACTGTCTGTAGATGAGGGTGTCACAGGTTGGTGTACTTGATACTGTCTGTAGATGAGGGTGCCACAGGTTGGTGTACCTGATACTGTCTGTAGATGAGGGGATCACAGGTTGGTGTACCTGATACTGTCTGTAGATGAGGGTGTCACAGGTTGGTGTACCTGATACTGTCTGTAGACGAGGGGGCCACAGGTTGGTGTACCTGATACTGTCTGTAGATGAGGGTGTCACAGGTTGGTGTACCTGATACTGTCTGTAGATGAGGGGATCACAGGTTGGTGTACCTGATACTGTCTGTAGATGAGGGGATCACAGGATGGTGTACCTGATACTGTCTGTAGACAAGGGGATCACAGGCTACAGGGATGACTCGCTGGAGGTACATGTACCTGATACTGTCTGTAGATGAGGGGATCACAGGTTGGTGTACCTGATACTGTCTGTAGATGAGGGGGTCACAGGTTGGTGTACCTGATACTGTCTGTAGACGAGGGGGCCACAGGTTGGTGTACCTGATACTGTCTGTAGATGAGGGGGCCACAGGTTGGTGTACCTGATACTGTCTGTAGATGAGGGAGTCACAGGTCGGTGTACCTGATACTGTCTATAGATGAGGGTGTCACAGGTTGGTGTACCTGATACTGTCTGTAGACGAGGGGGCCACAGGTTGGTGTACCTGATACTGTCTGTAGACAAGGGGGTCACAGGCTACAGGGATGACTCGCTGGAGGCACGTGTACCTGATACTGTCTGTAGATGAGGGAGTCACAGGTCGGTGTACCTGATACTGTCTGTAGACAAGGGGATCACAGGCTACAGGGATCACTCGCTGGAGGTACATGTACCTGATACTGTCTATAGATGAGGGTGTCACAGGTTGGTGTACCTGATACTGTCTATAGATGAGGGTGTCACAGGTTGGTGTACCTGATACTGTCTGTAGACGAGGGGGCCACAGGTTGGTGTACTTGATACTGCCTGTAGATGAGGGGGTCACAGGTTGGTGTACCTGATACTGTCTGTAGACGAGGGGGTCACAGGTTGGTGTACCTGATACTGTCTGTAGACGAGGGGGTCACAGGTTGGTGTACCTGATACTGTCTGTAGACGAGGGGGCCACAGGTTGGTGTACCTGATACTGTCTGTAGACGAGGGGGTCACAGGTTGGTGTACTTGATACTGCCTGTAGATGAGGGGGTCACAGGTTGGTGTACCTGATACTGTCTGTAGATGAGGGGGCCACAGGTTGGTGTACCTGATACTGTCTGTAGATGAGGGTATCACAGGTTGGTGTACCTGATACTGTCTGTAGACGAGGGGGTCACAGGTTGGTGTACCTGATACTGTCTGTAGATGAGGGTATCACAGGTTGGTGTACCTGATACTGTCTGTAGACGAGGGGGTCACAGGTTGGTGTACCTGATACTGTCTGTAGACGAGGGGATCACAGGTTGGTGTACCTGATACTGTCTGTAGATGAGGGGGCCACAGGTTGGTGTACCTGATACTGTCTGTAGATGAGGGTATCACAGGCTACAGGGATGACTCGCTGGAGGCACGTGTACCTGATACTGTCTGTAGATGAAGAAGTCACAGGCTGCAAGAATGATTCACTGGAGATGGGTCAACATAATTTAGAGGTGTTTTGCCTAGTTTGGAGTTGATGATTTACAGGTCTGCAATATTTGTAGCCTGAATATTGCATTTGTTAACAACATAGACTCTTTCACTCTACAGAATTCTCTTTTGTCTACAGACTGTCAAGAGGAACCAGCAGCAGTACGACCTGCCCCTCAAGATCGTCTCGTACGAGGTCAGTAGGTTTCAACCTGCATATGTTGCTGTAACGAATATCATTTTAGGGATAACACTTTCTTAGAAAAGTACAGATTCTAGTCCTTTTGGGGTTGAGTCCCATCCCGGATTCTGCCAGAGTGAGGCACCTAATCGCCAGCACACAACATCAACGATCTAACCGAATCAGCCACCGATGCTTAAATTTTTTTATGAAAGTCTGACAACTGGTAGTCTTTTTGGTTTTGTTTGGTTTGTTGTTTAACACCGCACTCTGCAATATTCCAGCTATATGAGGGCAGTCTGTAAATAATCAAGTCTGGACCAAACAATCTAGTAATTAATATCATGAGCATAGATCCACGCATTTGGGATCAATGACATGCATCCACCAAGGCAGAAAGCCTGACCACACGATCCTGTTAGTCACCTCTTACGACAAGCACAGTCGCCTTTTATGGCAAGCATGTGTTGCTGAAGACCTATTCTACCCTGGATCTTCACGGGTCTAGATAACTTACTTTGTGTACCCCTCTGACAAGTGTAAATTGGCATGGATCCAATGGCCAAAAGCTATGAAACACAATGCCATTTAGAAAGTGATCAAATGTAACAAATGTTACTTTTGGGATAACACTTTCTAAGCTAAGTACAGCATCTTGTACTTTTTGGGTTGAGTCCCATTCGAGATTGGAACAAACGCTTACATTTGACCACTTTCTACATGGCATTGTGTGTTCATGCACGTGTCTCTGATCATGTTAAGTTAAGCCTGAATGTTGCGAGCGGCGGGACTGGAACAGAAAGACATTGTTTTCAGCAGAGGTTTGGGAAGGGAAACGTAGGAAGCATGTTTGCGGCGGAGTCATTGTCTGTAGGAGATGAACATATGTGACCAAGGGGAGATAACTCTTTAGGGAGTAAAGGGGATCATTATGTGGCCTATGAACATTGTCATGAAATTGTTGATATGTCTGCCTGTGTTAGATACTGGATTAACATGGTAGTTTGTTGTGTAAAACTGATTATGTTATGGATATCTGATTTTCAGGAACTTTACGGGTGGACGATGGATGCAATTGTCAAACAGATCGGCCTCAAGAATAACTGTGAGATATTATTTGTTCTGCTTAACCCCAGGAGGGGATCTGGTGGTTTAGATACCACCGGGTCGGGAGCCTCACTGAACAATGTACACAAGGCAGCTTAACCTTTGTTGTATTTGATGTTCCTGACACTTTTAGAGGGTAAATGGCTGATACAAACTAAACAGCCAATATCTATGATGTGTATATTCAGTATTGAGTATGCATGTGAAACGGAATGTCGAGACATGAGAGTCTTTCTATAGTTTACTGAACAACATGACGTTAATATACCACGGTAAATATGAAGTCAGATTTGATAAGAGCATAAATACCACAGTAGTACAGTAATTAGATTACTCACACTGATTGCCTGGGGGTTGCAAAGTTTATCGCTAATGGAATCAGGGTGAGAACCCAAACACATGGCCTGCTTGTGGACCATTTTGCACGTGAACACGAGAAACCTAACTCTGCATACCATGTGAGTGAATACCACTAAAAATAAACTTATTTATATGTTACGATATTAGAGAACAGTAATAATATTTGCAGCATTTCACGTCATATACATTGTGTAGACTGAAGATGAGGCATGCTGATTTGCATATAATTGTCCTCTGTTGACTAAAAAGATGGACAGAAGTCACGAAGGTAACACGTCTTCTCCGGTTCCTATTCTACTGTTACTGTGGTTACAGGTACATTCTGTGGAGTGTTTCGGCGCCAGGCTTTGGACAGAGGAGCAATGATACTCAAGGTGGACAAGATTGTGACAGGTGAGAGAGTCGGCATGCAGGAAGTGGAATAATAGATCGGTTGTGTTGTTTCATGGTGTACTATCTGTATACGAATGATGTATTGATGTTAGTGGAGACTTGGAAGATGATGTATTGATGTTAGTGGAGACTTGGTGGATGATGTATTGATGTTAGTGGAGACTTGGTGGATGATGTATTGATGTTAGTGGAGACTTGGAAGATGATGTATTGATGTTAGTGGAGACTTGGAAGATGATGTATTGATGTTAGTGGAGACTTGGAAGATGATGTATTGAGACTTGGCAAGTGATGTAGAGATTTTAGTGGAGACGTTGCAGGTGGTTTATCTCAGTGTTTTTGTTTCAGGACACAACGCTGATGACATAGCAGAGACAGTGATTATGAATGGTGAGTTCCTCAGTATAAGTAGTATTACTGGTGTTCGGTGAAACCTCAGTATAAGTAGTATTATTGGTGTTCGGTGAGTCCTCAGTATAAGTAGTATTACTAGTGTTGGGTGAGTCCTCAGTTTAAGTAGTACATGTGTTCGGTGAGTCCTCAGTATAAGTAGTATTACTAATGTTCCGTGAGTCCTCAGTATAAGTAGTATTACTGGTGTTGGGTGAGTCCTCAGTTTAAGTAGTATTACTAGAGTTTGGTGAAACCTCAGTATAAGTAGTATTATTGGTGTTCGGTGAGTCCTCAGTATAAGTAGTATTACTGGTGTTGGGTGAGTCCTCAGTTTAAGTAGTACATGTGTTCGGTGAGTCCTCAGTATAAGTAGTATTACTAATGTTCCGTGAGTCCTCAGTATAAGTAGTATTACTGGTGTTGGGTGAGTCCTCAGTATAAGTAGTATTATTGGTGTTCGGTGAGTCCTCAGTATAAGTAGTATTACCAGTGTTCGGTGAGTCCTCAGTTTAAGTAGTACATGTGTTCGGTGAGTCCTCAGTATAAGTAGTATTACTAATGTTCCGTGAGTCCTCAGTATAAGTAGTATTACTGGTGTTGGGTGAGTCCTCAGTATAAGTAGTATTACTGGTGTTGGGTGAGTCCTCAGTATAAGTAGTATTACTGGTGTTGGGTGAGTCCTCAGTATAAGTAGTATTATTGGTGTTTGGTGAGCCTTCATTGTAGATAGTACTATGCTGACCTGTGAACTGTGACACACAATGAAGAGTTTTCATGTTTGTCTGCTCTTTCTCCCTGTGGTGTCAATCTCACATTCTCCTCACACGTTGTTTATTTTCAGTTTTACGTGGTGACATTGCAAGGTTGCGGAGATGTACAGCCATTACAACCGTGAGTCCTAGGGCTAGTACAGTGTTATCAATGTATTGTACCTTAGGAAAATGTCCCATGTAGAAAATGGGCCTTGAGGTGTGTGTGTGCGGGCGGTTATGCATGTGCATGTGTGTGTAATTGTTCCTCTAGTAGGACTTGCTGGAGTGTGCTATTCTCACTACAGAGTTGCGTCCCTTGGTCACATCAGACAGCTATGATTGTGGGTTTGAATCCCGATTCACCCAGATTAGGTTTCTTGGATTGTCAACACCATACCCGTGCTTGAGGGTTTCACCAAAGTGGTAAATGTCTGAAACCTGCATCACTTGGGGATTTCTTCCCACATTAAGCTGACACGCCATGACATAACTGGAATACTGTTAAAAGTGGCGCCAAACCCAACTCACTTTCTCCTCCAGGGCATGTTGGGACATCAGTGCGGTTCCCTTGGGACAGGTTGGAGTATGAATTTGTTCTCTGTGTCTTTTTAGGGAACGGATGGAGCTCTGCCCAGGTGTAAACCATTCAAATACACCTATGAGAAGGAGATTGTCATGTGAGTATCACTTCTCTTCTTCAATCCCAGTGATAACACTGACAGACTAACCTCCCTTTAAACATTGGACTTGTCACACAATGTTATTGCATTTCATGCAGATTGCATGATGCATCTGTAAACCTGGGACCTCGGGTAAATAACACATGACAAGAAGTCTGTGAAACAACGCTTGTGTTGCTGCATAGGGTCGCCATGACTTGGGTAGGCTCCATCTTCCTGAGGCAAGGGAGATAACTGACTGTAAAAGTCCCGTTTCCACCCTTGCCGAACTAGGCTGCAATTATGGAGTTATATTTTGGACTAATGAGTTTATGCATAGTCCAATCAATTAGTGTAACAAAATCAACATTCTGTTCATAAACAACACAGATGTCAAAGTGCAGATTTTGCCCAATTGCAGGATTTGCAAAGGATGTGTACCATCAACTCATAATCAACAGATATTTCCCAAATCTTTTCATGTGTATAATCAAGCTGCCCACATGATTTGATGCACTCTGCCAGATAAGTCCCGTTTTAAAAAAAATATATATCTTGATCTTGGTCTTGGCTGTGTGCCGCCATTTTGTTTTAAGCAAAGCAAGGGATATATGAGAGGTGGAATCTGATTGCCAAAAGGAGGGACATAACTCATAATAGGAACTGGTGGCGCTACGATCAAGCCCGAAATTGCAGCCCAGTACGGCAAGGGTGGAAACTGGACTTTAGAGTCTGTTAACTCCCTTGCCTTGGGAAGATTGGTAGGTTCAAGAGGAAACAGTCTCCTGGCCAACGCAACAAGTTATTGTTGAAAGGAACTGAAGTCAAACGTGCTGGCCTGTATGGTCATCAGTAGCTGGTCAGTGTCCAGAAGACCTGCCAGGGCCTGCTGGTCTGTATAGCCATCAGTAGCTGGTCAGTGTCCAGAAGATCTGCCTTTGGATAGTTTTGAATTTGTATAAAATTTATTTTTTGAGTTTCCATGGCAACGACTTTGATTTAGACTGAAAATGGCGGTAGTCCTCGTTTCCGGAGCAGATCTTGAAAACCGTACCATATTTCTTCACCAAACTTGGCACATAGATAGATCTAGTGGTGAACTGGTGCCTTTTGATAGTTTGGGATTTAAAAAAAATTTTTTTTTCGAGTTTCCATGGCAACAACTTTGATTTAGACTGAAAATGGCAGTAGTCCTCGTTTCCGGAGCAGATCTTGAAAACCGTACCATATTGTTTCACCAAACTTGGCACATAGATAGATCTAGGGGTGAACTGGTGCCTTTTGATAGTTTGGGATTTAAAAAAAAATTTTTTTTCGAGTTTCCATGGCAACGACTTTGATTTAGACTGAAAATGGCAGTAGTCCTCGTTTCCGGAGCAGATCTTGACAACCGTACCATTTTTCTTCACCATATTTTGCACATTGATAGGTCTAGTGGTGAACTGATGCCTTTGGATAGTTTTGGATATTTTTTTTAAAGTTATTTTTCGAGTTTCCATGGCAACAACTTTGATTTAGACTGAATATGGAGGTAGTCCTCGTTTCGGGAGCAGATCTTGAAAAACGTAGTATATTTCTTTACAAAAAGGCCCAGTGAACATAGTTCACAGGAGCTAATGCATTGCACACACCCGACATGTCATACTGGCGGGGGATGTGAGTATTTCATGCTTGTTGTATATATACTTCAGTGTGAAAAGTGACACTTAACACTTTGACGGAACTATTGTCACTTTGCCACTCGTGAAAATATTTGTTTTCTCGACTCATGGAATATCCTCTGTATATTACAGGTATGCCTACTTCAAGAAACTGGACTACTTCTCGACAGAGTGTATTTATTCTCCCAACGCCTACAGGTAGATAAGTCTCACAGAGTGTAGCTATCCCCCTCCAATTGTGATGTGTTGTCATTATGGGTAGAGATGTCCGTGATAGTGGTGGTGAACGTTTCTATTTCTGATCTAAGTCTGTGACAAGTTCAGTGAATTCTGACACACCATACACACCAACGTAATCAACTGTGATATTGTTGTCTGCGATGGCGTGCCAAAAGTAATAAGACTTTGTGCCAACGGTACTGAAGACAAATGTTGGTGAACATAATGTCAGGTTGGTGAATGTAATGTTGGTGAACACAATGTTGGTGAACATAATTTTGGGTTGGTGAACATTATTTTGGGTTGGTGAACGTAATGTTGGTGAATGTAATGTTGGTGAACACAAGTTTGGGTTGGTGAACGTAATGTTGGTGAACATAATTTTGGGTTGGTGAACGTAATGTTGGTGAAAATAATGTTGGTGAACGTAATGTTGGTGAACACAATGTTGGTGAACGTAATGCTGGGTTGGTGAACGTAATGCTGGGTTGGTGAACGTGAAGTTTGTGAACACAATGTTGGTGAATGTAATGTTGGGTTGGTGAATGTGATGTTGGTGAACGTAATGTTGGGTTGGTGAACGTGATGTTGGTGAATGTGATGTTGGTGAATTGAATGTTGGTGAACAGTGTTGGTGAACGTAATGCTGGGTTGGTGAACGTAATGCTGGGTTGGTGAACGTGAAGTTTGTGAACACAATGTTGGTGAACGTAATGTTGGGTTGGTGAATGTAATGTTGGTGAACGTGATGTTGGTGAATGTGATGTTGGTGAAAGTAATGTTGGTGAACGTAATGTTGGGTTGGTGAACGTAATGTTGGTGAACGTGATGTTGGTGAACGTAATGTTGGGTTGGTGAACGTGATGTTGGTGAATGAAATGTTTGGTCGGTGAATTGAATGTTGGTGAACGTAATGTTGGTGAACGTAATGTTGGGTTGGTGAACGTGATGTTGGTGAACGTAATGTTGGTGAACGTAATGTTGGGTTGGTGAACGTGATGTTGGTGAACGTAATGTTGGGTTGGTGAACGTGATGTTTGTGAATGTGATGTTGGTGAATGGAATGTTTGGTCGGTGAATTGAATGTTGGTGAACACAGTGTTGGTGAACGTAATGTTGGGTTGACTTTTTTGTTTCAGGGGATTTGCTCGAGCATATATTAAGGACATTGAGAAGATACGTCCCAGTGCTATCATAGGTCAGTGCAGTAGTGTTGGCTAGATAACTATGTGACTCCCTAGATAACTCTGTAACTGACTAGATGACAATATGACTCTAGATAACTGTGTGAGTCTCTAGATAACTATATGAGTCTCTAGATAACTATGTGACTCTCTGGATAACTATCTGACTGAGATAACCTCATTTTACTGTATTTTCAGACATCATCCATTCCGGCGAGAGTCTGTCAGTGAAGAAGGAGGTTAGAATGCCAGTACAGGGTGAGTGGTCTCCCCTTATTGTTCTCAGAAAAAAATTAACATGATCAGCTTGCCCTCCTCTGTGCAATTTGCTGACTCAGTAATGATGGTTAAAACATGGTCCTTACCCAGGGAAGAACAAAGTTAGTAAATAACGGTCTGTTTGAGTGAATCAACACAGGTGAGTTTATGGAGAGAATGCGGGACAACCCTATATACAAACTAGCGCACTGCTCGTGTTTCATCTGGGTGTCAGGTGTTGTGTGGTAGGTCCACCGTTATTGATGATGTCAGTCTTCTCCTGCAGGTCAGTGTTCGCGGTGCGGCTACATGTCTAGCAACCCTGTGTGTAAAGCCTGCGTCCTTCTGGAGGGACTGAATCGAGGACTGCCGCGGTAGGTGGACCTCTGCCTCTCTATGTCTGCCTCTCTCTCATGTCTGCTACACTAGGTGAATCTCTGCCTCTTTCTCATGCCTCCCTTTCTCACCTCTGCCTCTTTCTTATGACTTCCTCTCTCTCATGTGACCGCCTCCATGGTCAAAAGACGTTAAAAGATGGTACTTGTTGTTACCCTGTCTGGCGCTCGGCTTTATGGGGCTAAAACAAGGACTGGTCGGCTCGGAGTCAGTATACTGTGTCTGAGTGGGGTATTCATGTTAAACTGCGGCATGGTATCTCAGTGAGCTAGCACTATAAATCGGCATCAGTCCGGACTAGTACAAGCAGCCACACAAACACACACACGTACATGCACGTCGCTATATAAGTGCAATAATCTTGGACGCGACGTTAAACCCCATTTCACCTCACCTCCTCTCTCATGTCTGCCTCTCTCATATCTGGTTCCCTCTTATGACTTCCTCTCTCATGTCTGCCTCTCTCATATCTGGCTCTCTCTCATGTCTGCCTCGCTCATGTGTTCTGCTGTTTGTGACTGAAACAGGAAGTGCCAAGTCACAAAATACTATGTGATATCAACTTAATTACTGGTCTCCAGGTGTCTGCAATCCACTGTAGGAGATTGTTATATGTTGATATGAAAAAGAGTAGCTGTGATTTTGTTTTATTTAAATCTATAAGTTCAAAAGCTGAAACCAAGGGGCAGTTATCTAAAATTCCTGTTATTGTGTCTGCCTGTGATCCTAGAAAGTGATATCTTTTTACATGGTTACATAACAGTTTTTTATGTTATCAAATCTGTGATAGGTGTTTATGTAGTCTAAATGTATTTGTTATTAATGTAGGACTTGTTATAGTAATGACATGGCAGAAATACTGCTGATTTCGGATTTTGACTCACTCACTCACTGTGGTCATGGAAACATGGCAGTGAAGTCGAGCCAGGGAACTAGACACCTATAAACCTGTGGGAACCGTGTGTGTGTTGGTGACATGTTCTGTCTCCCACTAACACTGTGTACGTCTGCTTCCCCCAGACTCGGGATTGGCAAGGAGCACAAGGAGAGAAGGAAGGTAAGATGTCGTCATTAATGCAACATTAGGGTCAAAGGGAGACAACTCATGCAGTACAAGCTAAAAAATAATGCAGAAAATTCAATGGGATTGTGAAGGCCTGTACAGTGGAACCTGTTGATGTGTGCGGATGTCAGGGGATGTCGGGGGGTGTCGGGGACAGAAGATTGATACAGCTTGTCAATGGTTAATTATATGCAGCCACTAAGTTGAAACAGACATGGTTCTTGGTTCTGATGAAAAGTCCTGTTCTACGGACAGATTACTCTTGGATGATAAGATTGGAAGCGCATGTAACTTTCTTAGGTCTAAATGCTGTTAATAATGACATTTGCAAAGCTGAAACATTGTCTTTGTGGGCATGGTGTGATTAGACCTTACTTTGTCCTCAGCTGGCAGACAAGCTGGCTCGGGAAGAAGCTGAGAGTATTTCTCCCTCCATCCCGGGGTCTGGTGAGATGGATGTTGTCGCTGCAGGGAAGTCATGTGGAGGTGCTTGTAGCTGTCAGTCTGAAACTATTTGTGTGGACAGCACTACAGCAGACCTGAAGGTGTTGCCTGTCGCTGGTTGTGAAGATGAACTGAATAAGTTGCAGCTGGACAGAAGGAAGCCAACTGTTGCTGATATAGATTTCTGATGTCCTGGAGAAACTGTAACTATAAGATATCTGACAGCAACATCGACAAATGAACATACCTTTTGTGTCATTAGAGATAACCAGTGTTCCATGCTTGACATCAGGGCTGTGTCACCAATGTTACATGCTTGACATCAGAGCTGTGTCACCAGTGTTACATGCTTGACATCAGAGCTAGGTCACCAGTGTTACATGCTGACATCAGGGCTGTGTCACCAATGTTACATGCTTGACATCAGAGCTGGGTCACCAATGTAAGATGCTTGACATCAGGGCTGTGTCACCAGTGTTACATGCTTGACATCAGAGCTGGGTCACCAATGTTACATGCTTGACATCAGGGCTGTGTCACCAGTGTTCCATGCTTGACATCAGAGCTAGGTCACCAGTGTTACATGCTTGACATCAGAGCTGGGTCACCAATTTTACATGCTTGACATCAGAGCTGGGTCACCAGTGTTACATGCTTGACATCAGGGCTGGGTCACCAATGTTACATGCTTGACATCAGAGCTGGGTCACCAGTGTTCCATGCTTGACATCAGAGCTAGGTCACCAGTAGTACATGCTTGACATCAGAGCTGGGTCACCAGTGTTACATGCTTGACATCAGGGCTGGGTCACCAGTGTTACATGCTTGACATCAGAGCTGTGTCACCAGTGTTCAATGATTGACATCAGGGCTGGGTCACCAGTGTTCCATGCTTGACATCAGGGCTGTGTCACCAGTGTTACATGCTTGACATCAGAGCTGGGTCACCAGTGTTCCATGCTTGACATCAGAGCTAGGTCACCAGTAGTACATGCTTGACATCAGAGCTGGGTCACCAGTGTTACATGCTTGACATCAGGGCTGGGTCACCAGTGTTACATGCTTGACATCAGAGCTGTGTCACCAGTGTTCAATGATTGACATCAGGGCTGGGTCACCAGTGTTCCATGCTTGACATCAGGGCTGTGTCACCAGTGTTACATGCTTGACATCAGAGCTGGGTCACCAGTGTTCAATGATTGACATCAGGGCTGGGTCACCAGTGTTCCATGCTTGACATCGGGGCTGTGTCACCAGTGTTACATGATTGACATCAGGGCTGTGTCACCAGTGTTATATGCTTGACATCTCACTTCTGTAATTGGACATAGAACAAGAGCTAGAACTATCTGATGGATAAATAATCAAGTCTGGGCAAATGAAACAGTGATAGATATTATGAGCAATGACACAGGCTGTTGGGTAACCTGAAACGCAACAATCAAGTCAACTGCGACAAGCATAAGTTGGATGGGACCTTTCTTTAACCCGGTATCATGATGTCCATTCCTTCTCTTTGTTCACTGTAATATGTCATAATGGCCAAGCAGACAATACCCTGCCTGTTTCCAATGTACATCCCCAGAGTTCAAGATTAAAGTGTCAAAAGATCAGAAACAATTGTCCAGTAATTGTTCTTGTTGACGGAATTATGTGACCCTCAATGTGGAAGCAGTCGTAAGTGTTTAAGGTTTTTACATCTGTTGACATTTTGTGTTAGCATTGCCTGTCATGATAACATGTTTATTTGGATCTGGAGTAAAATTATTAGTGGTTTACATAAAGTGTTTGTGATTTTTGGGTGTTGCTATATTCTAGTCAATGCATGTGGTGGTGCTATACACTAGTCAGTGTATGTGGTGGTGCTATATCCCAGTCAGTGTATGTGGTGGTGCTATATTCTAGTCAGTGTATGTGGTGGTGCTATACACTAGAATGTGTATGTGGTGGTGCTATACCCCAGTCAGTGTATGTGGTGGTGCTATACACTAGTCAGTGTATGTGGTGGTGCTATATCCCAGTCAGTGTATGTGGTGGTGCTATACACTAGAATGTGTATGTGGTGGTGCTATACCCCAGTCAGTGTATGTGGTGGTGCTATACCCCAGTCAGTGTATGTGGTGGTGCTATACACTAGAATGTGTATGTGGTGGTGCTATACCCCAGTCAGTGTATGTGGTGGTGCTATACACTAGAATGTGTATGTGGTTGTGCTATACACCAGTCAGTGTTTGTGGTGGTGCTATACACTTGTCAGTGTATGTGGTGGTGCTATACACTAGAATGTGTATGTGGTGGTGCTATACACTAGAATGTGTATGTGGTTGTGCTATACACCAGTCAGTGTATGTGGTGGTGCTATACACTTGTCAGTGTATGTGGTGGTGCTATACACTAGAATGTGTATGTGGTGGTGCTATACACCAGTCAGTGTATGTGGTGGTGCTCTACACCAGTCAGTGTATGTGGACCTTTGTGTCGTTGACCTTGGGCACCCCATGCGTGGCCGAACATTGATTTTTTGTGACTTCAGAAACCTGTCGTAAAGTCTGCAAATCACAGACTGAGATGCATCGAACATATTGGTCCCCTCTTTCTGAACTGTACCAGTTTCAAGCATGCCACTAGCCTCCCAAGCCTCCCAAGTTACCCCTGACGATCCGGGGTAGAATAGGTCTTCATCAACCCATGCTAAGCTTATCGTCAGAGGCGACTAACGTGATCGGGTGGTCAGGCTCTCTGATTTGGTTGATGCATATCATCGTATCCCAATTGCGTGGATCGACACTCATGATGTCAATCACTGGATAGACTGGTCCAGAGTAGATTATTTACAGACCGCCGTCATATAGCTGAAATATTGCTAAGTGCTGCGTTAAACAAACACACAGAATTAACCATACCACATAAGAGATCCTGTTATACTTTGACAACATTTATGTAATAAAGCCACTTCAAATTCTTCTTCTAAACCTGATGTTTGCAGCATTCCATAAACGTGCATTCTGAAGGGCGATGTATTTCGCCGTCACTTGTTGATCATGTGTACATTCCATTAAATTCATGTTGGAATCCAAAGAAAATAGGAATAGCACATTATATCGACCTCGTTAAGTAATATCATTACCCATGGCCAGTTGTCTGTCAGTTCATTTGTTTCACCCCAGTAAGCTGTTCGACACACGTGGTCACAGAAACACGTGCTCCGTGTGATGTCACTGATGGGGCCACTGGTTATCAATTTCATACTAAACAGGGACAAGATACAATAATAGCTCTATTGTATACAGATACACACTGTTTAGAAAACAATGTCTCTGCCAAATCAGTTTTGCAGATAAAATGCATACAAGAAATGTGTTTTAATGGTATTGTTTGCAATGAATATGTGTTGGCGTGTCATGTCACATCACACCTGGCGCCACATGTGACAGATGTGAAAACAAGGTCAGATTGGATAGTTTACCAGTGGCTGAGGCATGTTTCGTCCATGTCGAGGATGGATTCCCTGACATCCAGGCTTACAGACCGGAATGTCCGAGTAACTCTCCATTCCTTAAATGGTTCCACCCACCACAAAACACCGTAATGTTAATAAATAAAAGTGACAAAATCCCTTTCCATAATCATAAAATGTGCACGATGCCGACTCTATCATAAGCAGGTGATTATGAATCACTATTGTAATGAGCTCAAAATACATTGAAAAAAAATAAATTAGAAAGTTCGTAGGAATGTGTGGCTAACTTCTCAATACATTCTATGATATATTTCCGTAAAGAGTTACTACGTTTGGGAATACTGGAAACAGAAAGTTTTAAAATACTTAAGCACCAAGGCAATGAAATTCATCCATGATGACACCAGTCACTTCAAAGTCAGGAATCATATCCAATCAAAACAACACGTAATGGTGGTTGGACATGTTTTGACAAATCAAAATGCTAGTTCTTAGCTCGTGATAGCACGTGATAGGCAAGCCAGGCTGGAAGGTGCTCGAACACCTTAAAAGGCCCCTCTCATGGCTAAGCGAAAAGTGCGGGCTTTGCGGGCTTCAGATGAGTGGAATCTGTCCATTCCGTGACTAAAAACTGCTCACGGAAATGAAAAAACCTGTTTTTTTTCAATTTTAAAATCGACACAAAGTTTTACGTACCAGTAAATACGAAATAACAAAACGACTCGAAAAGTACTAGTCTGGATTTGCTAGTTTGATCTCAGTGAACAATACAAAATGTTCTTTACAGGAGGTAATTTGTCGGCACTTTCAACATTCAAAAATAAAACTAAGTCCAAATTGACATAGCAGAAACAGACTATAGGCATTATGCAAATTAACCTGTAAAAAGTTCATCAAAACAACATGAAAAACAACAGATATGTTAATGTACACGATAATAATGACATGTTAGTTGTTTGGTGAAGGGAATATGTTATTTTTACTTTCTGATATTTGGACTTTGAGTCACTATCAAACAATACCACTCACAAATCACTAACCACTGACAAAGCACATGCTTAACTGAGAACACTGTCCTTAAGCTATGGCTGATGAGATTGCGAAATTGATCAAGAATGTTCATAAGTACTATACGAGAGAAAGAGACTTGGGTAAACCTCACATCAGAGTCGACAGGGTATTACACCGCACAAGTGTAGCCCTTGGATTGTCATACGGAAGGGTATATTCAGTTGTCAATAAACAAATAGAGCAGGTAGGGGTCGTCTCAAAACCTAAACGTGGTCGTAAACATAAACTGGACAGCTTTGATAAAGGTGTAATAAGACGGGATGTTTACAGTCTGTATGATCGGAAGATACTGCCGACATGCAAACGCATTAGAGAGGAAATTCAGGACACCATCAATCTGTCCAATACGACAATGATAGTTGCTCTTCACGAAATGGGGTTCCGCTACAAAGCCCGCGTTGATGATAGAGGCGTATTTCGTGAAAAGTATTCTATCCTCAGCATGAGATCCCAGTATCTCAGAGATTTGGAAACATATCGTTCTTTAGGCTTTCAAATAGTATACACCGATGAAACGTGGGTCAATAAGAACCGACTACATGTGGTTACCCACAGATGGCAGCAAGGAGCCAACGGTACCGTCTGGTAAAGGCAAACGTCTTATTGTTTTGCATGCTGGTACTCGTAACAAGGGTTTAATCACTGGCTGTGAACTTGTATTTAAAGCCAAGTCGAACACCGATGACTATCATAAGGAGATGAACGGTGAGGTGTTCCTAGAATGAATGGAACACCAACTGTTACCGCGCCTTGAACAGCCCAGTGTCATTGTCTTGGACAATGCAAGTTATCATAACTTGCGGGAGCCCGAATTCATCACTCCCACCATGAGCAGCCTGAAGGCACAAATGCAAGCGTACCTTACATCGTGCAATGTGCATTTCATGCCAAAAGAAACGAAGCAACAGCTTATGGAAAAAGTCAAAATGTACAAGAAACCTGTTGTGTACAAAACTAATGCCCTTGCTGCCCTACATGGACACGTCGTTTTGCGCACTCCAGTGCGACACTGCGAGCTCAATCCTATAGAGCTCATTTGGGGGAACTGCAAAGGCTTCATTGCAAAACACAACACAACCTTTAAGTTGTCAGATGCTAAAGATCTCGTCTATGAATCGTTTGCCCGAATCACTCCAGCAGTGTGGCAGGCCGATGAGGAACACGTTATCGGTATTGTAAATGCATACCGCCAGCGGGACGGCGTTGACGTGAGCCGTATACAACCCGTTGTCGTTCCTCTCGATGACACGGAAGATACTTCTTCAGCCTCAGACACATGAGTTCTGTGATCTCATGCTGTGGATGTTGTGTTGATGCAACTCCGAGTATTTTATTCCATCACAAAAATTCTTAATACTAACAACAGGCAGCATGGTTTTCTTACTGTAAGAAACTACTAATTCCTATACATAAAACACTTGTCACATTAAAATTCCACCCATGTAAACACGTATCTTTTAGTGTCATGCCTATGTCCTAATTTATAATAATAACAACAAATAAGCCTAAACATCATCATAAACTGTTGTATATCACATCGGGACCATAACGTCTTTGATACTCCATCACAATATTCGCTTTTCTGAACAATGAGACGACCCCCGAAAAAGACGGCACGTGTGTTTTATGCACCTGTTCTCACCTGTCGTCATAGGTCATGGACATTCACCTTGATCTACTTACACCTGGTTATGCCCTGTTTCACAATAGTCTGTTTTATTCACATTTGTACACACTTTTACGTGTAAAAACATTTTACGTGTAAAAACATTTGATACGCTATATTTGTGCCACGGCCAAAATAGTGCTAATTTAGTTGTTTGAATATTTACATATTTTGTATATTAACTGCATTTATTTAAGATCTGAGGTGAGCAGTAGTTTACTCAGGGCTAAAGTGCAGTAAAGTGTATGTGAGTATCAAACCTTGTATTGTATTAATTCAGCACATGAAAGTACATGAATGTCTAGGTAGGTCATTAGAAGCTTTGATCCTCGGAGCCATGGACAGTCATACATGACTCCCAATAGTGACACGGAGCGATGTATTGCAATCTATGTGTAATTATCAGACGTACATCTTTATCAGGTTAAGTTTTTTAAAGGCTCTTAGTCTAATACAGACCGTACAGTCATATGCGCAGTTAGTGCAAATCCACACTATCTGCGGGTCTATCTACGCCCTGTTTCAAAAGATGTTTCTTTTGATTTGTATTTCTATAACCGTTACTATATGTATACTACTCA